AGGGAGTTAATTTAGTAAACAACTGTTCAATAGCTTTGATAGTAGATTGATCATTAGTAACTAGACTAGTTCTTTTGGAGCGATGACTAGGGAGATTAAGTAGAGGTTGATCTAAGGGTTTAATAATTTGTGTAGATTGGCTATCTAAATTAGTTTCTAGTTTATCTAATTGTTTACCAATCGTTTTTAGACATTGATTTGTATAATTATTCTGTTCAATAACTTTCTTGATTTGAGGGTCAGTGCCAGGTAATTTAAAAGGAGAGGCTGGAATTTCAGAACCTTGGTGATCAATAATTATATTTTCTAAGGGAGGATGATTAGAGCTAACAGAAGTATTAGGAGAAGTCTTCCACTTATGTTTGGTGATTGTATTAACCTTTTTGTAATATTGATCCATATAATCAAAGAAAGATAATTCGAAACCATATTGAACCATAAAATCATACCATTTTCTAGTTATGCAAGATTGTTGAGCAGAATCATATTTAGCGCGATAAGCATGTCTTTTAGTCCTATTTTCTTTGGATCTAAAATCAATAAGTAATTTATCTAGATCAGGAGTAAAATCCTTTTTGATTGTCATGAGTTGGGGATTTACTGGTTGTATAAATTCTTCGAAATCAGTTTGAGTTGGGGAATTATTTGAAGCTATTTCTTCTTCAGGAAAATGTGAGGTAGTAGTATAAACAGGTTTACTGATTTGAGAAGTTGTAGAATTATCAATTCCTTTTAATTTATTTTTGGAAGTTGGATTAGTTGGACCAAGATGGATTTGACTATTTTTTCTAAATAGCGGAGTGTTAAATATCTCGTCTTCAGTTGATATTTCAGAAGGGACACTAGATGTACTATGTCTAGAAGACTGACTGCGATTAAATTTAATATTAACTGATCCATCATTATTTTGCTGGATATGTTTAATGTCTTGGATGGAGGATTGTTGTTGATTATGTTTGTAATTTTCATTGACAGTAACCCATTGGTCAGGTAAATTAATATCTTTCCATTCAATCATGTGAGGAATATTAATATTTGATTCATTAGTACTACTGTTTTGGATTAGTAAAGTTTTATCTTTGGGACTTTTATGTAAAGCATGAATATTTAAATTAGTTTGCATACATTTATAGTGAACACGATAAATCAAAGCAATATTATGAGAAGAATCTAACATTTCAGTATATTCACCATGTAGTTGAATGTTTAATGTTAATGCTTTGAGAATATTTGGATCTCTTAAACTTAATGTAAAATCAGGAAAACAGTTAAAATGTACGGGACCTTTATTAAGACCAGTTTCCATCATTCCCATTAAACTAGCATTATAATTAAGAAAACGGGCATCTCTTAAACAAAGTAAAACAGAAGTATTTTGTCCTATCATAGTTAATGGATTGACACCTATTTGAATTAAACCAATATGCATAAAATTGTAACCACGATCTAAATGTCGTTTGATTAATTTTTTATCAAATAACTGACAGGTTTCTCT